CAAGTTTCTAATGCATTCCCTGGGGGCATAATTTTTGGGGGAAATATTTTCAATTAATTTTTTTCTTGTCTTAGCGAATTGGGCAGAAATTGAAAGGTGAAACTTTCCACACTTATAATTGACGTGATGTTGAGTTGAGAAAAAATGCAAAATTTGCTGTGTATACGTTCAGGCCACCGGTTTTTGGATGCGTCAACTTTTCTAAAGCCATTATTGCACCAGCGAAAAGGCAAATCGATAAGGCTGAAACCTGGTATGCACTTTGTTCTCTGAGTACTGATTTCAGTAAATATATTATTTTTCATTTCCTTTCCCCCAAGGCACCTTTTTTTTTGCAAAAGGCGCATTTTCCCGATTCTTTTTCGATCCAATGAAAGAGAGTACTTGGAGAAAAAGAACCTGCCGGATTATTGAGTCCAGAAAAAATCATATTCATGATTACATGCAAGGGGTCTGCCTGCAGAACTTTCAGTTGCTAGGATGATGGACTTCTACTAATATCCTGCTGCTATGAAAGATCTCCACGGAGATGGGCACCTTAGATGTTAGATAATTTATGCCAGCATTCATCTAAATTTAATACCTCTCCAGCAGTCCATTTGGTAGCACGTTGGAAAGAATCTTTAACCGAGAAATACACTGAAGCTCTGCCAGTCTCCATCAGAGACACCTGTCGTCTTACATTTCAGTTTTACATGAATTTTATATCCTGATCGTCTTTGAATTGAATAGTAATTTTCTGAATTTTGGAACTGAACTTTCTCATTTGCCACCCCCCCCCCTCTTTCGAAGACGTTCCTACGTCTTTGATAGGTCCAATGTGACACCAGTATGATACGATACGATTCCTATAGGAATCTTTTGGACTCCCTTAAGGAATGCATGCCTCCTTATAAGTACCCAATAGGTTCCATAGAAAACAAGATTCCTATATATTCCTATAGGATTCCCATACATTAAAATAGAATTCTTAAAGGACATTTTCGTAAGGGATGTTTTCCTTTGGCTAATGAGCCAGGTTGTGGTTGAAGTCTCTTTCGCTACGGCTCCATTCGGAACATACAAAGTCTTACCTAAGTTGAACGTAGGAAAAAAACAATGGCAATGCGTGGAAAAATACCTGGGACTCGTTCTTGTGGATTCGGGGTGAGGATCGCTAAAGCCGTAGTTACCATAGAAGCACATAACATTGAAACAACATTGATTCAATGTTATGTGCTACTAGGGTAAGCGGCGTCTTGCTGGAAGGGTAGTAACTATTTTCTGTCGGGAATGTACTCATGAGTCAATATATCCAGCGTTAATGTTTAAGCTACGTGAACGATTTCATTTCAAAGTCAAAATGCAAAGACAAATGTGAAAGCAAACTGCACTTACTAGTTCCATTCGACTTCAGCAATCGATTCAAGACGATAGGCTAAAAAATAGTGGTATTCTATAACGTCTGACAAACCAATTGTGGGAATACACTGTCTTTTGAGTTTAGAGTCCGAATGTACAAACCTCATTTAGGGGAGAAAACGGGGCTTTTTGGCCAAGGATTTTTTTTCTCCCATAGGAATCCATGTGTTCTTAATGGACTGCTAAATATCAAATTAACGGATCTATTACTGACGATACTTGTTGCACCACCAACGCACCAAACGGAATACAAATACCGTATGAAACTGGAATAGAAAAAAAGGGAGTAGGCGGTTACATGAGAATCCCTTGACTGTCAAGGCATTGCCCCGAGGGTAGCGAGGGATATGAATCGAAAATCCAGTTGATGATATTTTCACTTGAGAAAAATAAACCGAAATGCGAAAATTAAGAAATGTATATCGTCTCGATTTACCGATTTCTCTGAGGGAAGATAGATACAAATTTCGCAGATGAAGTGCAGCGAAATTTAATCACGAAGAAGTGTTGCAAAACTTTTGGAGGGCAGTGCTTACATCTTATTATATATTTCCATGTATATATATATATACACTATATATATATATATATACTTTATATATATACACTTTCACTATATATATATAGTGAAAAGGAAATACCAATGGTGCCTGTCCCACCCAAACCAATCTAGGCAATGGGGGAATGCACCCCACTACAATGAAAAAATTCTCCCGTTTTGCCGAGCAACCCATTGCATAGGCTGATGTACGCAGATGAGTCCACTTCGTACTTGAATAATAATAATAATAATAGAATACATATTAAAACCCGCCTGCATAGGGGGGAGTAGTTCTCCATCGGGTATAAGTTACCCATGGTCACAATGGTGCCAGTCCCAACCAGACCGATCTCGGCATGGGGGATGGAACCCCGCTCCCGAACCGAAACCTGATAGGGATTGTCTGAGCTATGGGAGGTTAGCCTGCAGAGAAGGGGCGAGGCCGAAGGAAGCTAAAAGAGGAAGGACAGTGAAGAAAAATATCTCAGAAACTGTCATGCAGCCTGCGTCTTCAGGGGGTTTAGGCTGCAAGCCTAGCACGACATCCTATCCAGACCGTTTCCTATCCAGACCTTGTATTCATAGCTTCAGCTATGAATACAAGTTTCTGGGATATTTTTCTTCACTGTCCTTCCTCTTTTAGCTTCTTTCAGCCTCGCCCCTTCTCTGCAAGCTAACATCCCATAGCTCAGACAATCCCTGTCAGGTTTCTGTTCGGGAGCGGGGTTCCTTCCCCCATGCCGAGATCGGTCTGGTTGGGACTGGCACCATTGTGACCATGGGAACGTATACCCGATGGAGAACTACTCCCCCCTATGCAGGCGGGTTTTAATATGTATTCTATTATTATTATTATTATTCAAGTACGAAGTGGACTCATCTGCGAACATCAGCGAATGCAATGGGTTGCTAGGCAAAACGGGAGAATTTTTTCATTGTAGCGGGGTGCATTCCCCCATTGCCTAGCTTCGTTTGGGTGGGACAGGCACCATTGGTATTTCCTTTTCACTATCTATGCGCCTTGGTGGGAAGCAGGCCACTGCCCTGCCAGGTAATCGCTTAAAAACCCGTTCTTTATTAAACATAGGACTCAACATTATATATGATATATATATATGAGTAAAGAACGTAGATATAAAGAGTAGTGGGCCAGTTTAGCAATTACCCGAATGGGCAGTGAAACTGCACTCATTCAAGGTGTGCCTATAGATTGAATAGAAGAAGACTGCAATGTCCCTCCCAGCCAAAGCCACCCCACGGCAACAGGCAGGAAATGTCTGGCCACTAGCCCAGGAGAAGAGGGCAGAAAACCATTGAATAACTGCTCCTCCATCGCTGGGGAGAATAGCCCACTCACCACCCATCGCCCCGAAAAAGCCAAGACCAAAAACAGCAATACAGTCAACTTACAAACCCATGGCTTCATGGCTTCAAACCATTTCTGTTTCCGTCCGATGCAATCGAATTTCATCACTTATACCCTTACGAAAATGTCTTATAGGATTCCTATATATTCCTTTAGAAATATATAGGGATCCTATAGGATTCCTATAGGAACCTAAAGGAATCCTATAGGTTCCTGTATGCCCCATTGAGTTCAGTTTGGGACCTATAAAGTTCCCTATAGAACCTATTGAGTCCCCTATTGAACCTATAGGGTTCCCAATAGAACCAATAGAGTTCGCCATAAGGCCTATAGGTTCCCAATGGGACCCATAGGGTTCCCTATAAAACCCATAGGGTTCCCTATAGGACCTATAGGATTCTCTATGGGACCAATAGGGTTCCCTATAGTGCCTATACGGAACCATATAGGCCTATAGGGTTCCGTTTGAAGCTATAATGAGGACCCTACAACTGGAATGTAGCTAAATTTACAGTTAAAAATCAGCTGTTCCTGTAGATGGACCTCTGACAAAATAGTCAGCAAAAAGATTTTCATTCAGTTAGTGATATAACAATTAGGAACAAATCTGGAGATGACTACTTTCCAGCTGTTATCCAGTTGGAATGGGTCCGAATTTTCAGCTGGAGTCCAGCTGGAAATTATAGCTGTTTCCTGCCGGGACTTTAAACTGGGGGTCTAAACACTGAAGAATAGAGAGCCCAAGTGGGTCTCTTTAATTTTCCTTTTTTTTGTTTCTTTTGTTTCTTTTTGTCTATTTTTGTCTCCTTTGTTTCTTTTGTTGCTGCTCACTTTACTTGGGAAATTTGCATCTTGAAGGCGAATTTCAGCTCATGGGGCGAACAATTTTTTGTTAAAAAACTTGTTTGAGGACCTCGCAGAAAGAAAAGTACTGAGACATGAATTATCTTAATAATTCTTCAAAAATATTGGCTAATGTTGAGCATTGCTTAAGGTGGCCAAACTTTCTTGCAATACCAATCACGTAGGGAGAAAAAGACCTTTATTATGGACGAGGCATTCCATCATTTTCCTTTAAATATGGGCGATAGACAGGAAAGGCTGGAGAGGCGGCAACAAGGCGGCAGGGACTGGGTCGACTTCGGTACGCTTGTGGAACGACCCTGGCGAGTTTTTCTTTTTTCGACTCATTCGAGTAATTACGGAAATGCAAATAATTGCCGATTAAATGCCGATGGATTGGAAATTAACTTTGCCATATCGCATCTTGGGAATTGATTATCTGATTTTCTGGTAGAAGAAGGATCTCAAGTTCGCTTGCGATGGCATTCCGAACAACTTCGGGTCGACATTGAGGAAGGGTTGAAATTTCGGCAAAACAGAAGATTCCAAAGACACGAGATCTTTATCAGCGCATTTCCAATGTTGAACTGAGTGTTTTATTTCAACAATGGTGAAACATTAAATCAATATTTTACAGAACCTTATGGCGAATTGCAAGGTTGAATCATAATAATTTTTAAAGCGATCGCCACCATAAGTTGACCGCAACGTTGTTGAAACGAATAAGATGTTTCATTCATTAATTAATGTTGAGTATGATGTACGTCGTAAAATAACACGGACAGAGGCTGAAGCCCTTCCCCCCCCCCCCCCCACACACATATGGGCTTTGAACTGCTTCGTGTGGTGTCAGGCCTTGAGAAGCTGTCTGGCCGACAGATGCTTCCGAAGACCGAGGATGAACTGCCGGCATGCCTCCACGTGGAACGGAAGGAGGAAGGAGACTGGGACGAGCGGGATCTTCAGGTCCAGCGAGAAGACCCAGCGCAGCAGGGTCCGGGTCGTGTGGTGCGACGGATCGGGTGATATCGACAGGCCGCAGCCTTCTGGTACCTCCGCCCTAAGTCACCGAATAGAAGGGTGAGGGATGTATCTGTGATGATGGCGTTCTGGATGGGGATCTTCAATGAATCTTTAACGAGAGCGTTAAATGCCAGGAAAGAAATTGATGATGAATTCCGCTCGGGTCGCCCGATGTCGCTGTGGGATTTTTCCGCACCGATTCCACATTTAAAAAAGGCATGATACCAGAGCAACAGCGAGTCAAAGGCTAAAACGGACGACGGTCGAATTTTTTAAATAAACACTCTCGTCTCCACCAAATTTGATGCATGACACAAATCTTTCTTTATAAATATCAGGCATAAATGAATACTTATATCCGAATTTCGCTAAAGCAAGCACGATTCTTTCTCACCTGACCAAGTTCTCTCTCGGTTCCACTCCCGGCCACTCGGTACTGCCCATGGAGACGAAGTAGGCGTCGCCGATCTTGCGACAGTGGGAAGCGTAGAGCATCTCCCGACTGGCAACGATGCCCCCGAGTTTCGGCTCCAGCACCTCGTGCACCACCCAGCACACGTCCGTTAATCGCTGTCGGGCGGGGGAGCCGAAAGTGATCGTTGCATCAACATGTTCTACTAATTACCCTTCTATTTCATTACCGCCAACGTCAGGGTATGACATACGAGTAAAATATTAAATATGATAGAAAATAGGAAGCACCCATTCCTTCCTTTTGCTGAGATTGAACCGAGGAGTCTGCCCTCCCCTCCCCTACCCCCACTGTCACTCACCTGCCTTAATGCTAGGCCCCCTTTTTATGAATTTCTGCGCCCGACTCAGTGTGGTGGGACTTGGAGAGAATGATGCAAGGGTTTCTGTAGTACTCGTGTACTGTCCAACTTTATATGAACGGGGAAAAACATTCTCTTCGCAAAAAAAATTCTTTCTAAAATTGGGAGGGAAAAATGGGAGACGTGAAATGATAATTTTAAATTATTCATTGGTAACACCTACGGTGAAATATCTAATGATGGACAGGAGAGCAATTTCCCATTAGCTACTCTCATTAAGTGCGGAGTATCCATTAAGTAATTGATGCTGGTGGGAGATGGCTCGATACGAACGAGAGGAGGGTGGGGAGGAAGTGAATGCTGGAAGTAGAACACCGACTTGCAGTTTTTCATGGCAGGTCATGCCATGCTAACATGACTTTTGCACTTTGCCATTGGCGTTACATTTCTCATGGACGTCAATGCAATCAACAGACCTCGAGGACGCTGTACTCCTTGACGTCGGAGTACCATTCAGGCGTGGCTTCCAGCGTGTGGTCTCGCATGTCTCCGAAAGTCCAGTCGCACTCGAAGTCCAGCGGGGCCTGAGGAGGGGTGGGACGAGATGGAAATTCACCCTGGAGACTAAAATCTGTTTGGTGTTGAATTACGTTTTTGTTTCGAAGGGGATCGTTGTTTGCACTCTATTTTTTTTTGCTGTTTTTGTTCATGTCCTTACGACATCGAGGAAGCTGCTTCCAGAATTATCATCTCTCCCTATAGGAAAAGTGTTGGACTTGCAAACCGAGTTATAAACAGTTGACTTTCATTTTACATCCTAATATAGGTTAATGACTTGGACTATTCAGTTCCGTCGAGCTGAAGTTTATATTTCAAGTTTCAATTTTGAACCTTAAAGAAATTCCCTGCTCGAGGGTTTCGCAATAGTTTCCAGAGGAGCGATGGGATGAGACGGGAAAAAATGGGTAGATAATAATAAAAATAATAATATGAATAAATAATAATACATGAAATAAATATCGATATGAAAAAATCACCTCAGTGAAGAGAAAGTACATAAGCTTCTCTTGGTCATACACGGACTTGACGGTGATTCCCTCCTTACTGTAATGCTTCTGCAGGGTCCAGTCCTTCCTCTCCAGGTTGAAGCGGAAATTCTCCAGCGACCTTTCCCCTTCGCCCCCGCACTTCTCCTCGCATAGCAGGAGAGGATGCATCATACTCATTCCTCACTCGCACTGTATCCCTTAGGGGTGTCAATCTCGCTTTGGAAAATGGCGATCCGGCGATCAGGCGATCAGGCGATCTGGCGATCGTACCACGTGCTTACCCGTCTAAAGTGAGACATCTTGGTCGCGGGGGTGTGGACGAGTAACTCTCCATTGTGGATAGTTTTTTGGTTGGAGGGAACAGGGAGGGTTGAATGAAGGTCGCGTTGACCTTGAAAAGCCTCTTTCGTCATCGTGAAATCGAGATATTTCGGGAGACGCTTTCTCGGTGCCGACTCGTCATGAATCAACATTTTCGTTCACTCCTGATAAATAATTTAAAATAAAAACAATTATAATAGGACTTGGAACTTGGAAATTGGAACGACACCGTCTGCCGGATGCATTTTAGAACGGGTTTCGTCATAGTCTCTCCCGTCTCCAAATTCGTCGCGTCCATGAGCTCGCACATGTGCCTCCGGGGGCGTGAACACGGACCTGGGAAGCAAGGGCAAGGGGTGAGGAAGCGCTGGAGCTCCACCTAGATCGAGTGGCTCATGATCTCAAGTGATGTCAGAACTTTCCCATTTTCTTCGTGGCCCATCTTGGCCAAAGGCATTCAGAGTCCCATCGCTATTATGCCAAACGCGAAGATTCTTACATTTTCGTCTCTCGAACTATACGAACCTTTGATAGGAAAACCCATTTCCACATTAGTCAATGTCAATTTGGCAAACTTAGCGAGTTTAATACCAAGCGAAGCTAAGATAAATTTCTCTCATTCCGTTGGATCCCGTCACTTGTTCCGAAACTTCTTGCACATCCTTGAAACAAGAAACCCTCAAACTAAAGGCCACAGGATCCCTCCACTTCCAGTGGATAATCAAAATTGGGATTATCTTCGCCAATGGGGACACAATCCCTCTCTCACCTCTGTCTTCCTCCCAACCGCGATCTCATCCCGCGCACCGCCGATTCACGCCGGTGACTCACGCCGGTGATTCACGGAGAAGCAATTCTCTGATCGAAGCCAATTGACCTCCGAGAGCCGCGAATCCCAATGGAGGTCGCCGGGCGCAGAAAGGCTGCGTCATCGCAGTCAGCAACACAGACAAAATGCTAATTGCTTATTGCATTTGTAAGTTTACCCTCGGCCAACTCGTTGTACTGGAATTAAATCGCGGTGAAACTCGACGAAATTGATCGGGTTATTTTTCACTCAATTATTCCACCCAATATTTTCACTTTGTCATTTTTCCACTTCCAAAAATTCATTTCTTCGGAGTCCCCAATGATAGTTGGCTTTCATCATTGGCTTTCATCATTGGCTTTCATCATTGCCTTTCATCATTGGCTTTCATCATTGGCTTTCATCATTGGGGTTATTTTCACCGCCCGAGTACATGTTGCAACATTTTTGCACATGATAATTCTCTACTGATGATATGGTAAATCTTATTACATGCAACCCGCAGATGCAAAAGGCATCTTTGCGTTGTCACGATGTCATTGACCGAAACTCGACACTATTAGGTTCGCTCGTGAACTCAAATTAGAATCCGCTTTGCCGATCCCGCAGGTGAAGTCAGCCTGCTTTCCTTTTCCCTGTTTCTCTGCACGCACACGTGCACGCACACGGGCGTGTTTTCCTCCCGGAAGGATTTCCAGCTCGAACGCGTGGGGATGCTGATGAGCTATTTGGCATTCATGCGAATTGCCCCAGTTTGAATCGTGCAGGTTCCAAGGACGGCCTTGGAGAGGGTGTCCCATGGGTGAGATCACGTCCCGTGACCTGCTGAAAATTTCCTGCATATTTTCGCCATCGGGAGAGAGGGCAGACCAGTCCCAGGAAAGAATTATTGTTCAAAGTTTCAAAGAAATCCGCACGAATTCAATGAACCTAAAGCCAAGCCGGCTTCAAACCATCGGGAGAAGTGCCAGTCCCACCTCAAGGATGCGATTCCTCGAGGAATTCATCCAGTCGGGAGGAAAAGGTAGTAGAAAGAAGCGGGAGGACGACAGAGAAAGCGGGGAAAAAACGTAATTAAATTGATAATAAATTGATGAATAAATAATTAAATTGAGAATCTGCTAATATTCCCATTATTTAATTTTAGCATGAAAATAACGGATTTAGAAGCCACGCAGAAAAGAGACAAACCCAGATGAACTCCATGATATTAGGTTCGCTTCGTGAAATCAAATTAGAATCCGCTTTGCCGATCTCACAGGTGAAGTCAGCCTGCTTTCCTTTTTCCTCTTGGGAGGATTTCCAGCTCGTATGTGAGGGAATGCCGATGAGGTATTTGGCATGCATGTGAATTGTCCCGGTCTGAATCGTGCAGGTTCCAAGGACGGCCTTGGAGAGGGTTTCCCACGCGTGAGATCACGTCCCCACTGAAAATTTCCTGCACGTTTTCGCCATCACGAGAGAAAGGGAAGACCTGGGAATGAATTATTGTCGGAAGATTTTCCTCAGACCGCCATTCCAGGTTTGAAGGTCATCACCGGTTCGAGGAATGCAAATACCCGTTTAACGAGGGCAAGGCGACGAAGGGACAATAATCGCAAAGAAGAAAAACTTGTTTGTGAGCAGAGGAACTTGCATTATTTGCATGGCTTTGCGAAGAGAGATAGTAAATGAAGGCAAGGCCAACCACAATGATAATTTTTTCCGTCTATCTGTACGTGATGGCCTCCGGTGGAGGAACGCGGAGCCTCTGCTGCCCTCGGGCCAATGAAGAGGCTTTCCCCTTCACGGGCGAGGGGGAGGGGGGGGAGTGACGGGGGGGGGGGGGGGATGGAAGGGGGGCGAGGGGGAGGGACGGGGGGGTCTGGATCAACTGAATGCAAGGCGTGGCGAAGACCTTTAACCTCTGTCTGTCCTTTCGCTAGATTGATTTTTATGAGACATGCTCTGCGGGTAGAATGGCATGTTCCCAACATTATAGCGAAATGTCGTTCAAAAATGATTTTGGAAAAACAAGACCATGGGCAACTATTGAAAATAAATGGGGGATTAAAGATGGTCTGGGACTCCCAATTCCTTTCGACTTCTTCGCTCTCTGACTAAAAACCAAGGGAAGATCTAAGTAAACTTTCGTTCAACCCAGTTTTCATACTTATTGTTTCATTTTCCATCGGAATAAAGCTAGGAAAAACCTTCTGCCTGGTAAGTCCATCCAGAATAATGAATTTCAATGGAAGAGAAGTTCGATGCGGCCTTGGCGATAGTCAATAGGTCATTTCTCCCCCTCTTTGTTCATACGATTCCCTACGAGATACGTCGCCACACTTTAAACGGCACTGCGGAAGTCGGTCGGTTCCTAACCGGGAGGCAGACGTCCTTCCCGTCAAGTGAGGTCTGGGGCGATGGATTCAGCCCTGCGACCAGAAGATCAGATGGGGACTTGTGGCAACGAAAGAAAAACCTCTCGGTTAGCGTCGCGCGAACCAGAAGCAGCTGACGGAATACGAAGGACAAAGGGCTGCCGTGCCAGCGACCTGGTACCACTTCTGCCTATTCCTCTTATGCCCACTTGAAGGTGAATTCTTTCCAACTGTTTCTGACTGCCTCGGAGTCGTGTGGATGTATGCCCATGCACATTTCTGGGTTGTGTCCTGAGGCTTATAGGCAGAACTCCGCTCCAATGGAGAAATATGCGTTGGCTTACGTCCACCATGACTCTCAGGTTTCAAGAACGCTTCTGGAGGAATTCGCTTCCTGCAGGAGTAAGCATAAATGGAACGGATCGAAGTGCTTCCTTGACAAAAGGATGAGGGGAAATTAATAATAACCTTTGACGATCTGAACCGGCGTACTATCCATTTGATAACTGCACATTCAAGCTCTTAGGCAGGGGCCTTATACAGACAGAGAATAGGAAAAGTTGTTGAGATCTGATTATTTTTTCGAAAATCCTCAGGGAATGTTTTCAATGTCTTTCAAATTCCTTTTCATCTACTGTAAGTATTACCGCCATATTTTTTATATTTTTTGTCGCCAATTTTTTTTTTCCCGAAACCTCTTCTCTCCAACTGGGACCGCGTCGGCCCAAATCCATTAAAGCATGAAAAGTTATTATCAGATTAATGTGGACATGTTCATATTGTATCAATAACAATATCGCAGACGCACTTCCCGCTGACTCTTGCGCTTTCGTCGACGGAAAGCGGTCTTAGGCAATCGAGCGATCTGGCACAAAGACATTAATATAGTCGAGTCACTGGGATTATGAGCAGTGGAAGGAGAAGAAAAGAAATGAGAAATGAGTCATATAGGATCTCCCCGGCCTTTGTCGGCGGATTAGCTCCAACTGTCAAATACGATCATTTCTATCCAATTGACATTCTGGGAAGGATGCCCCACGAGTCTTCTCTTCAGCAGCACGCGGAATTCGACAGATGTGCCGAAAGGAAACTGACAGGCTCGTTGCCATCATCAGAGGATCGGTGAAATGGCAGAACATTTTTTCTTAACCATTCCTGCTGTCCTTGTGAGGAAACACTGCCTGTGGCGACCCTGTTTTTCTAAGCTGTCGATTAGGGAAGGGGACTGTCAGGTAGCTGAGATTTTATGACCTGTCAAACTCGCCGACCAACTCGCCAAAATCCCAGTGACTCGACTGTACCTGATTGCAAATTTATATTTATATGCCAATTACATCTTCTTATACTAGCACAGCAACTCCCATTTCAGGCACGACAATCGGTCGATTCGGATCGAATCTGTAGATAATGCCAATAGAATGCACCGCATTGGTTGAGGAGCTAAACTCATCTGATTCCAGGCAAATGTGCTTAAGAATGAGTTTAACTCGTTGTTAAACTGATTTGTGACATGCACCAAATGCGATTAGTTGATTTATCTCTGAAACTAATCTTCAAAGATAAACCTGTTCCATAGTGGGCTTCACTTTGCTTGCCTTTCATCATCTAGCGACGGCGGGAATGGAAACTAACGAAGAGATGGAAATTTTTGACGTGATCCTGAAGCAAACTACTTGAAGGACCATCAGAGATTAGCCTAATCCTAATGAATGGTTCAACGGAGACGGATTCCGATGGAGATTTCGTCTTTCAAACCGTCGCCGACTCGGTTCGGACGATGGAGCAGCAGCTGGGACAATATTCATTCGCTTTCCGAGTGCAACCACGCCGAATTTAAA